CTATAGGTGTTGCAGAAAGAAAGAAAAATACTGTACGTTATGGGAATAGTTATCGTATTACGTAAGTTGTTGTATGTAGTACAAATACTTAATGAAAGGTTACTGGATTGATATTATAAAACTGCCTTTCTCTTCTAAAATACATATTAAATCATTAAAAGCACTTAAGAGTACATAAGAAATGAGATCATATATATACATATACATATAGATATATATATAGGCAGAGTCAATGCTAGGCGAAAGAATGTGAGGAGGAAGCTGCTGCCCATGCAGCAGGCTCCCTATCTCCACGCAGCAGATGGATCCAAACGGACGATAAAGACCGTTAAGATTTGGCACCAGCGGCGTCGCCGGAATTGCCAGATCGAGGTCGCCTTCGGGACTACGGCTCCGGATTCTCCCTCAGGGTTGACTCCCGAAGCACACACATATATATATTTATGCATGTATATATACACATCTATCTATCAAGCTATTTTTGTAATGATCCCGCGGGATTTGTGTCAGCGCATCCATACACCTCTGCTGAAACAATTGCCATCTGTGAGATGCCGATCCTCTTTCGCCAGCGCTCTGGGTCACCAGCAAGGCTGACCCTTGACATACTTGCGTAGGAAGGGCTGCACGCTTCTCTGTGAGTGAATCTCTCGCTCCAGCAGAGGTGCTCCACAAAGGCGCCCAGCGTTTTCGTGATGCGCTATATATGGATGTCTTAAACACAAAAGAACAGAGAGAACAAAAATATACGTGTAATGATGAATCATATTCACCGTTCCGAAATTGGGCTCATGTATAACACTATGTGGATTTCCTTTAGTCAGTATCTGGCTTAATTTAATGTTAAGGTTAGACGTATGTTCTCTTCGGTAGGTTGTGAACCCTGTCATCATGATGGAGTTCTACCTGACCCACTTAGTTAAGGCCAAGGTTCCCACGTGCTCTCGATTTGTTTGAAAGGAAACAAGAAAAGAAACGAGAGAGAAATCGTTTGGGGGGATGTGAAATCTCTGCTGTGAGATGGTCCTCTGATCTATTGATCATGTTTCGTGTTTCACTTGGATAAGAATAACATTAACATTAAAAAGTAAATAATTTATTTATGGAGTAGCGATACATACTGGAAACAAATGACAGCCTACTGTATGACAACATTTAATGACATGGTGTAGAAAAAATATTGATCTATGCGTTTGTGTAAAAAGGCTTAATGAGTTTTAAATAAAGGGATCTCTGGAAACCCAGTAAAAATAAATACATATAAAACTTTAAGTTTGGGTAAACGCTACCCCACACTCACACACACGAACGCAAGCACCCACACACGCGCACACACACACACACACTTTTAGCACTGGTACAAACATATGTCGTAAATAATCATTCAAAACAACACTGCTACTAATACTCATTCAAGATGTTATGACGACACATGGGTGGTGAAAAGGGTGGTGGCGAAAATAATGATTAAATTCCTGATTTCTTGTATCAACGTTTCAAGAACATCAAGCAATAAGAATAATCTTCAAAACATCAAACTAAGTTTCAAGTTTCAGGTGGTTTATATAAAAATACAGAATTTATATATTATTACTATAGGTGTTGCAGAAAGAAAGAAAAATACTGTACGTTATGGGAATAGTTATCGTATTACGTAAGTTGTTGTATGTAGTACAAATACTTAATGAAAGGTTACTGGATTGATATTATAAAACTGCCTTTCTCTTCTAAAATACATATTAAATCATTAAAAGCACTTAAGAGTACATAAGAAATGAGATCATATATATACATATACATATATATATATATAAACTGAGAGCAGTTGGCCGAAGAGCCGAGTAAATGTGACACTGCAGTTGGGCCTAAAATCCCTGAATCCTTCTTGGGATGATTCTGTTCATTCTCCAAAGACAAACAATTCATTGATGATGGAAAGACTACTCTAACCAAAATTTGTCATTGTGGATACAAAGCTTTAGTGACAATCAATATTCATCTGCTAATCCTTTAGCAATAATACTTGCTACATATGCTAAAAAGGGCTAATCAGGAGAATAAACAATGCAAATAACTACCGTTACAATGTATTTTTTTCCGCTTAGAACATGAATTCTGTATGACAAATGTCTAAGATTCTTTCGAACTTTTTGGAAGGTACCTCTTACGTTCCAACATTTCATAAAGTCAAGAACTCACTATATAATGAATTGTGACATCACCATCAATTATGTCAAAAGCCTCTTTTGCGTTGGCTTCGTAATGCGAAGAGACCGTTCGCTTAATGCCCTTGAAGCTGCAGACGATTGTATACAATTCTCTTTCTCAGGCCAAACTGTAGCGATAAACCTACTAAAAACGTCTATCCAAAGTAACTATAACAGCTCTGTCCTAATCAAAATATTATCAACAAACAACAATAGCATTTTGATCACAGGTATTTTATACACCGCAATATATACATAATATATGTACAAAATGTTTACATATATATACAATAGATACATAATCAATGTCAAAATGCAGTAACTCACAACATTTCATCACTATAGACTAACAGCAACTTTACTGGAGATTCTTAAAACATTAATAACAAAAGTGTATCAATGTGTAACTCTCAGAGCAGAGAGGCTGCAACGGAGCTCCCCAGTGAGGGTGAGACACAGAGGCCCTTTGAATTGCAGTTCACCGACTCCTGGTGCAGACTTCCGCCAATGACGCTCCCCTTCCCCCGGGCTGCCTGCATCGTCCCAGGCCCCTGCTGCGCCGAATCCCTCCAGCGGCGTCGGTGCAGGCGGCGGCCGCGCTGTCCTTGACACTCCCCTGCCCGACCCGCATCATGGGCGGGAAACAATGCGTCAGTGGGCGGCAGGTGAGGAGCGCATGTGTGAGGTAGGAGGAGGCGACAGGGCGAAGGGAACGCACTGCAGTGGCGTGGAGATCGAAGACTGAGCGACGGTGTACGTTACGACGGCGTGCGGTCGGTACCATGAGAAACGCGTTACGACAGAATGGTGTAGCGACGTCTGATGCGGGGTTCTTGACGTCATAAGTACGTTCTGGCGGCATGGATCCACGGCGTCCTGCATCCAGCGGCGCGCTCAGATCCCGAGAGGCCTTAGGACGGGCGTGACACATCCACGGCGACAGGGGAGAGATGGAGGAAAACCCAACTAGCCAAAGTCAAGAAAGTAAGTAGAAAGTCGCCGCCTCGGAGGCTGCGGCCGCGTATAGGATGCTCACGTTGAGATAAGGCGCGGCACGGGCGGCGGGGACGCTCGCGCGGGGCTCACACTACTCGCCGCCGCCCCGCCGCCGCCTACGCCAACGGACGAGGTGCTGCTGCTCCCAGTGATGCTGCTGTTGCTGCTGCTGCTGGCCGTCGAGTCTCGCCGCTCCGCCTGCAGCTTCACCCACGTCTCCCCCAAGGCCTTGGCGAAGTGGTCGTCGACTGAAAGAAAAAGGGGAACTTAGCTCCGTCGCCCAACAACAAGAATGAATCTCCGCCCGACGATCAGAGGCTACTCTGGCGGGGCGAGGGAGCAACCCGGGCAGCCGGAGGATGCCTAGGGCGTTGCCTCGGGGCGCTCCCACTTGCTACCCCCCTAATGGAGCCTCGGGAACTTACCTCGGGATGGCAGGAGCACCCTGACCCACCACCATCCCTGCACACCCCTTTACCTTGTAATTAAATACAAAATGTTGCAAGCTTTCTCATGCTACGAAAGACAATCTTGTCTGCTATTTCACCTCCATTCGACATCCTGTACCTCGGGTTTTCTTAATGCATTTCATTTCTGACTACAAAATCTCACTGACTTACAAAAATCACAAAAGTAATTATTTCATTTTGAAAAATCCCACAGCTAAAAACACAAATATACCTACACTCGTTCTCCTAAATGTGGGAATCCTCAACAAAACTAGTTTGACAAATGTGACCACTGATGCATATCTTATTTGCCTATTCATCATATGAACCTTTAATTTCAGTCGATTTTCAGCAGTAAACTACCCATGTATCCAAACATCTTCACCTTAAGAAGTTTACATGTGCAAGTGGCTGGCGTGACGATCGCCTCCTTGGACATTTCCCTTAAAGTTTCTTCCAGCTGCAACATGGCCGCTTCCCCACCCCCCTCTTCGGCGATAAGATTTCCTTATCAGCGCCGTTCCTTGGAACAAGGAAGACTAACCAGCACACAGAACCCCAAGAAAAGGCAATCTCTCCCTGGGCAAACAAAAGATATCCGGACACCAAGACAGGTCTGGGAATGCTCCCTTGTTCAATGCTCTGATTCTCGAGTACAAGGTTGGTGGGAAACACGTGCCTCTCAATACCGTGCTTCAAGTGGGAGAGGAAGGGGATTTGAGGGAAACACGTCTTGGCCAACACCGTCCCTATTCCACCCACACCGACAGCTGGATTTGGGACTACAGTGACGATCTTCACAGGGAAGGGCGACTTTACCCGCTGTTCACGGAAGAGTGCAACGGATGTTACCGGTGAGCAGAAGTTCGTTATGAGATTGAAGTGAAAAGAAAGGCCTTTCGTCCAGATACTCGTCGTCTCGGTCACGCTCGAATGGATGCCTTCCTCGACATAGCGCGAGGCTGTTAGCTCACTTTATTTGAATCACATCATAATGAAAGAGAAAAGGGGGGGGGCGAGGGGGGAAGCAAAGATGAATCAGTGTGGAAATTAACTTTCTCATTATTTATTTGGTCTTAAAGTAAAGGCGGTAAGCAGTGAGGAAGTGGAGGGTGCAGCCGGTAAGCAGGCACAGCACATATTTCTATCTCTATCCCCCCTCTATTTCTGTGTATGGTGTATACTAAGAATGAAGGATTCGCACAGATATGGCAGAAGGAGATTCATGTTCCTGTTCGTCTGTGGCCTGACTTTCCGAGTTGGTCCTTTCTCGCTGCACCTCATTCCCGCCCTCGCAACCTGCTGCTCAGATCATGCCTCCGGCGTCCGCAGCGCAGCTGGTTCTCGGATTTACCTGCCCTTTTGTTTCCAATAGATGGCATCAAGAGGGACTTTCCATTTTAGTTTTTTTTGCCATGGATAGGACAATATCTATCTGCCTTTTAAAAAGAACAATTCTTCTCTGAATGTCGCTAAAATATTATATAATCTGAAGGACAGTACCGACCGCCTCTCCCCTAGGCCCCCCTAAACTCCTCCTTCTCCGCGCTCGCAGTGAACATTACTATAATACTACGTTTGCTGCTGCCATTAAACTGATCTCTTATTTTACTGCTTGAAAAATGTGTCATCCGTTAATTGTTTTTGTTTTTGGGAACATCACGCACGCACGCACTCTCTCAAACAAACAAACACACGTACACACACATACATATATACGAGCATGTGTGTACGTATATATGTATATGTATTTATGCATATATGTATATACATATAAGTATATATGTATATATGTGTGAGTGAGTGAGTGAGTGAGTGAGTGAGTGTGTGTGTGTGCGTGTAAGTGAGTTTGTATATGAGTGAGTGTGTGTGCGCGCGTGTGTGTGTGTATGTGTGCACGTGTGTGTGTGTGTGTGTGTGTGTGCGCGTGTGTGTGTGTGTGTGTGTGTGTGTGTGTGTGTGTGTGTGTGTGTGTGTGTGTGTGTGTGTGTGTGTGTGTGTGTGTGTGTGTGTGTGTGTGTGTGTGTGCGCGCGTGTGAGTGTGTGTGCGCGCGTGTGAGTGTGTGTGCGCGCGTGTGAGTGTGTGTGCGCGCGTGTGTGCGTGTGCGTGTGCGTGTGTGTGTGCGTGTGTGTGTGTGTGTGCGTGTGCGTGTGCGTGTGCGTGTGCGTGTGCGTGTGCGTGTGCGTGTGCGTGTGTGTGTGTGTGTGTGCGTGTGCGTGTGTGTATGAAGGAAAGAGCTCCGGTCGGCGTCGCGGACGGAGGTTCCGCTCGCCCAGGGCCGCCCGCCTGGCTTCTCGAGTGGAAATCTCGCATATCTCGGGCGTGTTTTTGTTCCGAGCGCCGACATAAGGAGGGTGTTTGGGCTTGGCCTGGGTGCCAGTGCCAGAAATGATGATGCCAAGAATGTGTCTGGTATGGACCGCATTGCCGATGCTATTTGTCACTCCATAAATAATCTCAGGATAGATTTTTTTGTGATAAAGAAGAGCTTGTGCGTACGTAGGCGATGTGGCTTTTGGAATTCACGCGCATGCACGCACTCTCGAATCGACGGTAAGTAAGAGATAATTTTTAAAAACGCTAAGTTTAGAATGTCATGAGATAAGGCGGGTGCAACCTGTGACATCATGCCGCATATTTCGCAACGCACTTCCACCTTCTAGATATATTTCCCGGTATTACGATGAAAACACTCTACCGTGTTGATACAATGGTAGAAAACCCATAATGTAAAAATTGGATTTATTAAAAATGAGACAGCAGTTTCGGAATCCACCTGGATTCCATCCTCAGGTCTGAGGATGGAACCCATGTGGATTCCGAAACTGCTGTCTCATTTTTAATAAATCCAATTTTTACATTAAGGGTTTTTCTACCATCAAACATACTGCTTTGCTGCTCCCGTGTGATCCTGCTCTCCTGTACCAGAAAGCTTCCTTTCCAAAGGCTTCCTCAGCCCTGCGACGAAGGTCTCCCGCATAGCGTGCGTGCCCTCTCGATCCTACCAGCACATTCCGTCTTCCCAACGACGTCAGCGTGAGGACTCAAGACGTCTTCTGGCGGCTGACATCGGACTTCCTCCTTCCCTCGCGCAACTCCTCATGTGCTGCGACTTGCTTAGACTTCGGCTGAGCTCGACCTCGGAGCCCCATTCGCGACCCGCATGAACACGAAGCCCGGCCGGAGGAAAGATCTTAGAACCACCGCCGCCACTGCCGACTAGCGGATGGGAGGCGGCGACACAAATGCAGGCTCTTCATCTCCCTCTCTCACGGGTACGAATATGTAGGTACACAATTTCTTTCTTCCTCTCATTCTCTCAAATACACTCATGAACACAAGGGGGCGATCACGGATACACACACACACACACACACACACACACACACACACACACACACACACACACACACACACACACGAAATTCTCACTTCCCTACACCAACTTTGCTCCCACGCGCAACCCCGAGCGCAGGTGAGATAAGAAGAGCTGGGGCGTTTGGGGCACGAGCCGGATTGGTACCCCCGCGTCCCCGGGTGGTTTGGACGTCGCCGACATATTTCTAGGCGTTTTGGCTCATGGTACACGCGGGATTAAGTACCTGTTATCTTTTCAGATAATTTTTACTGTATCGTTTAGTTTCAGTTTCCTAGATTCTGAAGTGTGTGTTGTGTGTGTGTGTGTGTGTGTGGTGTGTGTGTGTGTGTGGTGTGTGTGTGTGTGGTGTGTGTGTGTGTGTGTGGTGTGTGTGTGTGTGGTGTGTGTGTGTGTGTGGTGTGTGTGTGTGTGGTGTGTGTGTGTGTGTGGTGTGTGTGTGTGTGTGTGTGTGTGTGTGTGTGTGTGTGG